TGAGCCTTTGGACTGCAAGGCAGAAGGTTTTCTCAACTTTGTCTGCCAACAAGGACTCTGGATCCCCTCCACATTTGCTCAGTTCCACCAAGGACTCGGTGTGACATGGCGGCATGTGAGAGGTCAATGGTATAGGAACGACTTTGTCTGTATTCCGATCAATTGGAATTTCACGCAATGTACCTCCTGGGTTAGCAAGGAAATTGATGTCGGGCTCACAAAAGAGGACCATTGTGCGGCAATTATCCATCTCAAAAGAGCTTTCAGACCGTATTCCGCTACACGGCCTTGTCAGACAGTGAAGCTCAAGGTCAAAGATGTAGTCCCTTGTGAGCTCTTAAGCCTGCAGAAGCCCAGTTGGAATGTGGACGTGCACACGCATGCCTTTGAGTTGCAGCAAGCGATTGTTGATGAGTTGTGGGACTCCCAAGTCAAGCCTCAGGCCAGACCTAAAAGGACCACAATGACGGAACTCACTTGGCAGTTGGTTCAAGAGAAACGTAATTGTCGCAATCTACTGCATGAACGTGCAAGAGGGCAGCGACGCACAATTCTCGGAGCATGGTTTGCCTGTTGGAAGCATGCGTTGCATGAATGCCCGTTTGATCAACTTGCACAAGCATTCGACGCACTGATCGTCGAGCAAGATCGCCTTGTTGCAGTAGCCTATCATCAATTTCGATTACTAGGAGTGCAGGTTACTAAGGCCTTGCGTGCTGATGACATTGGATTTTTCTCAGGCTTGATGCAAGATTGCACTGAGTTTTTGCAGCCGAAAGATGTCAAGCATCTTTGGAAAGTTGCCCGCAGATCACTTCCAAAGTTCCAGCAGCGTAGGCTCAACATCCCGCCATGTCAGCTTGAAGGACTCGAAGACCAGTGGTTGCCACACTATGCTGAGCTTGAGGCTGGGGTTGTCACCACGCCAGACCAACTTGTTCGAGGTTGTATCTTTGAGCAGGCCCTGCGTAGGCTGGATGCACCTTTGAAGGTCAATTTGTCTGAGTTACCAGGCCTGACGCACCTGGAACAGACCTTCCGAGCAGCTGCCTCTGGTAAAGCCACTGGATTTGATCCTTTGCCTTCTGACCTTTTTCATTCAGCTGCCGCCCCATTGGCCACACTCTTCCATGATTTAGTTATCAAGGAATATGTTTGGCAAAGTGAACCAGTGCAGGACAAAGGTGGACCAGTCGCCTTGATACCCAAAACTTTGCATCCAACAACGGCTAAGCAATTCAGAGGAATTCTCTTGCTGCCGAGTGTTGGCAAACGAACCCATGCAGTCTTGCGTGCACAGCTCATGAAGAAGCTCGAGATCGCTAGGGCACCGGGCCAATTAGGAGGCTTTCCTGGTCAGCAAGTAATTTTTGGATCTCATGCCACCAGGACCTTTGGCACCATTTGTGATGAGGCAGGGTTGAGCAGCGCCATTCTCTTTCTAGATCTGGCAAGTGCCTTCCATCACCTTATCAGAGAAAGCGTGGTAGGTGCGTATGATGGCTGCAATCTTGACCCAGTGCTTGCAGTGCTGCAACAGGGGAGCAACCTGCGCCCTGACTTTCGTAGGTTCTCCGAGCTGCCTGGGCTGTTGGCTGAACTGGGCCTGGCCGAGCCCATTGTCCGATTGTTGCGAGACATTCACATCAACACATGGTGCTCCATTCATGAACGATGGTTGCTGCGAACGCATAGGGGCACCAGACCTGGTAGCCCCATTGCGGATATCATCTTTCATGCCCTGATGGCTAAAATAGCCCAATCCATCGATGCCTGGCTCATGACCAAAGAGGAGTTTGGGAAGTTGTTGAAGGAAATCCAGATTGAGGCCCCATCCATCCTGTGGGCCGATGATATTGCCGTACCACTTGCCACCAGACAGGCCGAAGAACTGATTCCTTTTCTTCAGGAAGTCTTGCAATATGTGCGAGGAACGCTGCAGGATTATGGAGTCACATTGAATTTCTCAAAGGGTAAGACTAGTGCTGTTGTAACGCTGAAGGGAGCCAACTCTGGTGACCTCCGAAAGAGATTTCAACTGCACTCGAATCCTGGTGTCATGTGCACGTTTGAAGACGGGCAGACTGAATGGTTGCATTTCGTTCCGACTTATCGCCACTTAGGAACCCTGTTTGCATCCAATCATGATCTCCAGTGTGAATTTCGAGCCAGGGTGGGAATTGCTAAATCCACCTTTGCACAACTGGCCAGACCTATCCTGACGAACAAGAACATGCCTTGCAAGTTGCGACTACAATTTTTCCAATCCCTCATTGCCACCCGATTGTTCTTTGGCCTAGGAGCCTGGGCAACCCCAGGACCAAAGCAACTGCAGTATTTGCAAGGTGCATTGGTGGGTTTGCTCAAACGTGTCCTGAGGTTGACCAAATACCATGTGCCAGCGGAGCGGGTGCTTATGTTAGCGCATACAGCTGAGGTTCGTGCTCGACTTGCTATTGAGCGCCTGCTGTATGCCCAACGGCTGTTCCGTACTGGCCCGGCTTTTCTCCACCATCTGATCCACCAGGAACTTGAGTGCAGTGACAAGTCCTGGTTGACTGGCCTGCGAGCAGATCTTGACTGGATGGAAAGTGTGAACCCAGGGAGTCTGCCCCAGGGATGGAGCCAGGACATGACGACGCTATTTGAATGGTGGCAAGAACCGCAAACCTGCTGGGTCAGATTGGTTAAAAAGACTTGGAAGTTGCACCTAGCCCAAAATGCCATCATTGTTGATGCGAAATCCCTTCATGCTGGTATTTTTCACAACCTTCGAGAGGCAGGAGCCACATTCACCGAGGCACAGGACGACTTTTTGGATTGGGAAGAACGACATGATTGTTTCTGCGGCAAAAATTTTGCCACCAGACGAGGGCTATTGGCTCACCAGCGCAAGGCACATGCCTTATTTTCCGTTGAGAGGCAATTCCTGCAGGGTTGCACTTGCTTACATTGCGGCAAATTCATGTGGTCCACCCAGCGCTTGCAGCAGCATTTGGCTTACATCCCGAAAGCCCTTGGGTTTAACCCATGTTTCTATGCACTGCAGACACAAGCACGGCAAGTTCCATATGAAAAGGAAGATGTAGGAGCTACCGCTGCATATGCAGGTTTGCACCGCCGTGAATGCCTCCAAACTGCAGGCCCTGCGATTAACCCTTGCCCTGTGTGGGAGACGCACAGGATCCAGACCTTGGCTGAACTGGATGAGTGTAAGCAGAAGCTGCAAATTCCCCACCAACCGCCCGATCCAGTGGGTGAAGGTGAAAAAATTGGGGAAGAATTGTCAAAGGTTACCCTTTGCTGGTTCAGACAGTTTTATCCCATCGGACCAACAGAAGATGAGAAGGCGCTTCTGGTTGACGCTTGGGTTGAAGTGCTTTGCAAGAGGAGCTTTGAAACAGAGGATGATTTGGATCCTTGGCTGGAGTGGGTTTTTCTGCTCTGGGGAGAACATTGGATGCCAGATCTGACCGACACGCTGGAAGATGGAGTTGCAGAGATTGACATTGACCACATCTTTGCTGACTTTGCATCTCAGTTAGAACGATACAGGAATTTGGCTCGACGAGCACATCTTGAGCATAGGTTGCAGATTTGTGTCCCGCCGATGCCTTCAGCACACCGTGCCCCACCAGAGGCGGGGAGAACCAAACATCCTAAATCCAACAGTAAGGTTGTACAAAAGGTGCCAAGATCATTTGCTGACCAGACCGAATGGCAGCAGCGTGTCAGAGCCAGGCATTTCCTTGACTTGCCGCCGACCAGACTGTGCCCCATGATTCTGCTCCCTAGCGGTGAAGAAGCCTTTCTAGTTGTCCACCTCTTTAGTGGCAGGAGGAGACATCAGGATGTGCATGCTTATCTTCATGAATTTGGAGCGGAGCGGAATTTGAAGTTGGTGGTATTGTCATTGGACACTGCGGTCAGTACTGATTTTGGTGACCTCTCATTGGGTTCCGATTCCTGGCAGCAGCTGATGCGGATATATGCTGCAGGTGCCGTATCGGCTACCCTATTGGGTTCACCCTGTGAAACCTTCAGTGAGGCTCGATTTACCTTGCCGGAGAGTTTGCCGCCAGGTGGTGCTCCTTGGCCAAGACCGCTGAGATCAGCGGAGAGACTGCTGGGACTTGAGGGCCTCACGGCACGTGAATTGAAGCAGTGTCATCTTGGTGGAAATTTTTACCAACAGGGAGCATTGGTACTGAGCCATCACATGCAATCAGGAGGAGTTTTGGTTTCAGAACACCCGGCCAAACCTATTGATGCCCAACGCCCGAGCATATGGTCCAGTGCGATCATCGAGGTTCTCCTCCGCCACCCTGATGCGAAGCTGACACACGTCAACCAGTATCAATGGGGAGCCTCTGTGGTCAAGCCGACTGGCCTTTTGCATTATCATATGCCTAACTTTCGCAAGGACCTGTATCAGCATGCGGATCTCTACGCCTCAAAGCCCAAGGACGTCGCAATAGGGCGCGATCCCTCCGGACAGTTCAGAACATCGAGACACAAGGAGTATCCGCCACGATTCTGTAAAGGCCTTGCTTTTTCCATTGTTCAAGCACTGACTGCTGCTAAGCGCAAGCGTGAAGTCAGTTGCATTGGCAATTTGCCTGAGTCCCTGACGAAGTGGATCCATGGTGCTGCACGAGCCAGCACAGAGATGTATAGGAATACATGGCTTCCAGACTACCAGGGTACATAGGCGTCTTTTGTACATTAATTCGAGAATGTGCACGTGCAGCAAAGGCATAGACCTTTATTTGCAGTGAAAGTGAAAAAAAAAGTCCCTGGTCGGGGTGGCAATCTTTGCGCTTGCTCCCTGTCACAATGAAGAACTGTGAAAAGATCTCTTTAACTTTATAATATATATATATTTACTTGTTTCTCATCAAAGTTCAGGGAAGAACTCCTGGTACCGTTTGTTTTCTATTTGTCGTTTTAATGACCGCATTCAAAAAACATTCATCGGACCACCATTTTTGGCTGCTCAGGCGGGACTTTGAAGCTGATCATGATCATCCCGAGGCGTGGCAGTTCATGGTGATGTCACCGAAGGCAATGTTTAACCATAGATATCCATAATAAATAATGGTTAATATATGGTTAATATATATATGGTTAATGATGGTTTAATAATAATATTAATATAAGATAAACCATATATGGAGTTTCTGATGATATATGCTGGTTGGTGGTGACTGGAACATGTTTTTTCCATCTATTGGGAATGCCATCATCCCAACTGACGAACTCCATGATTTTTCAGAGGGGTTAGCAGCAACCACCAGTGATGTGATGGTGAGAAGCATAGGGCATTTTCTTGGTGAAGTTGGCGATGGATCCCGGTGCATCCACGTTTCGGTTCGAAAACGATGTTTTGCTCAAGCAAGATGTTGGATATTTGTAAAATGATAGACTCCCACAATAATAGTCATAGTTTAGTTTAATATTATATATATATGTATGCTATAGTTATCTATAGTTACCATACAGCAATTTGATGAATTTGATCTTAAATGTGTTGTCATATGTTTTTTTTTTCATACTTTTGTTTGCATGTAGAACGTATGGTTTTGTGGGTCCATTGGTACCACGCTGTAGGTGCCGACCGCGAAGCCGCGGAGGGCGAAGGAGTCGAAGGAGACGAAGGTACTCGCCAATATCTTGGGTTAATGTTACATGGTTAATGATGGTTAATAATAATAATATATAAGATAAACCATATATGGAGTTTCTGATGATATATGCTGGTTGGTGGTTTGGAACATTTTGATACATTAATACATGATTGATTTTTTCCATTGGGAATGTCATCATCCCAATTGACTAAACTTGTTCAGGGGGTTAGGCTCAATCACCAACCAGCAAGACATGATGGGAAATTCGCTCTCAACCAGTGATGTCAGAAGGTACCCTCTGGTAAACAAACATAGCTATTGAAAATGGCCATAGAATTAGTTGATTTTCCCAGCTACAAAATGGTGGATCTTTCCATAGTTTTTTTGTCAACGTTTACCAGAGGGTAATCCTGTTGAGTTGATATCAGTGTAATTCAGGTAGGTTATGGCCATGGTTATGGCCATGGTTATTACTCCCCGAGTAACTCCAACCCCCAAGGACCTCCAACCTCACGATGTGACCCGAATTTGGAAGCTAGCGATTGTGCTTTCCAGTAGAAAGGAAGTTATCTGGGTGAAAATTGGTTGGTGGTTTCAAACATGAATTGTATTTTCCATTTCATATATGGGATGTCATCCATTGACGAAATCGTATTTTTCAAGATGGGCACATTGCACCACCAAGCAGTATAGTTATACCCCAAAACGATCGAGAATGGTGCTGATCCCAAATCTTGGACCGATCAAGTTGTGCAAACGTTGGATGTGCAGATTCATCGGCATTCAGATTGCCACCTCGACATATGAAGACAGTTGGCATCATGTTTTTTTTATCCCCCATATTAAACACCCGATAGAAACCGATGGTTTACTGGGAGAGAAAGAAATTCCTGCAATGTGAGGCCCCCGTTCGATATGTTTGTTGGTTTAGATTCGCCCCAGTAACTAGTTCGTTATAAATACCATAAACGATAGTGACATTGGAGTCATGTTCACCAACTTAGCTATCGAACGGGGGCCTCACATTGCCCTGGGAGAAAAACATTGGTGGGATCCCCAGGACGAGGGTCCGTCACATAGTCTACCGAGGATCCCAACAAAAGGATATGGTTAGGAAGCCTAGTATGTCCCCTAAGTGGGAGTATGCCATATATATATATAATATATATAATAATATATATATAATATAATATATATATAATATCTATAATATATATAATATATAATATATATTATATATATTATATATACTATATATATATTATACTATATATATTATATTATACTATATATTATATATTATATATACTTTGAGGCTCAATGTATATGTATAGCTAGGTTGTAAAGTTGTAACATGTTGTAAATAGGGTTGCTAAGCAGTCACTAAGTCACTCAGTGGGCTGATCCTTCAAGTAGACCACCCCCAGAGATCGCCCTGGCCCTGTAGGGGTCAACGAAGCCGGAGAGACGCACAGCAGACGAAGCAGATGACAGCGTGACTTGGATCAGTGTGCTTGGTTGAGGTCAACGGTAAACCCAGGCACACTGTTCAACCAAGCTCATGCATTGTTACATGTCAGGCATCCATATTGATATGTAGTTAGTTACACCCCCAAACATGGCTGAACACATCCCAGACACATACGCAAATCTATGAGAGATGTTCATAGGATCAAAAACTACAAGGTGCGACCTTTTTTTTTTACATCAATGATCATACATATATTATTTTATAGTATATCTACTATGGACTTTAATGGACCAAACTGCAAATCTCCTGTACATCATGTACATCCAATGTTCATTTCCTATACCAATCCAGATTTCCCCGGATCATCCCAACATCCCGCTGCCTGTACCGAAAGTCAGGACGTGAGTCGTGCCCGCCATGCCTCTGAAGACGACGACCATCGCACCTCTGCTGAGTCTCCTCGCTCCTCGCGGCAATCGGCGCGGCAGTCTGTGGAGGAGTTGACAGCTGGGGTTGTTTGAACATATCTTTTTAAGAAATGCCTGGTGAAATGAAAAGAATGGTGAACAGTTCCGTATAAAACCTGGGGAAATGGAATGAACAGAATGGATTTGACAATCATGAATAATTCGGGATTTAATTAACTATCAACAATGGCCACAGGTGGACACCGGTTGGTTGTTGATTTTGAAGATGTTGGCCAACCATGGCCAACCTGTTTTAGGGTGGAAGAGGCCCGAAGAGGCAGATTGGACTGGTTTGTGATGAAAAAAGTGTAGTGTTTTTGTGCTTGTCCGTGATTTTATTGGATTTGGCCATATCATGATGCGTCACACATTGATGGACCCCCAAAGACCAATCTATGATGCTGTTTGGAAATGTTTGAAACCACCAGCCAGTTGACAAACATTCCAGTGAGAGAAGCAGTTTAGACACAACACAACATGATTTCTGACTAGCAATATTAGCAATCCCATCCTACAATGAGATGCTTCGTAAACATCCCCAGATCGAACCCCAATCCTGCAGGAAATGGTGCAGCCAGTGCAGCCACAAGAAAGATCCACACCTTCGAAGCCGAAGAGACGCGTAGACGAAGCGGATAAGGACGTGACTTGGAGCAGTGAAAGGTAGAGTAAAGAGAGGTAACCAGTTTCCACGCTGCAAACTCCAAGGTTTTGTGTACAAGATGTGTATTGGACTAACCAAATGGATGGGAGTCAGGGGTGTATATACAGCATTAATCAGCATTTTACAGCCATTTCCCACAGAGTTTACATCCAGTCGGCGGCCCGCTGCCTGTACCGAAAGTCAGGACGTGAGTCGTGCCCGCCATGCCTCTGAAGACGACGACCATCGCACCTCTGCTGAGTCTCGTCGCTCCTCGCGGCAATCGGCGCGGCAGTCTGTGGAGGAGTTGACAGCTGGGGTTGTTTGAACATATCTTTTTATATCTTTTTAAGAAATGCCTGGTGAAATGAAAAGAATGGTGAACAGTTCCGTATAAAACCTGGGGAAATGAAATGAACAGAATGGATTTGACAATCATGAATAATTCGGGATTTAATTAACTATCAACAATGGCCACAGGTGGACACCGGTTGGTTGTTGATTTTGAAGATGTTGGCCAACCATGGCCAACCTGTTTTAGGGTGGAAGAGGCCCGAAGAGGCAGATTGGACTGGTTTGTAAAAAAGTGTAGTGTTTTTGTGCTTGTCCGTGATTTTATTGGATTTGGCCATATCATGATGCGTCACACATTGATGGACCCCCAAAGACCAATCCATGATGCTGTTTGGAAATGTTTGAAACCACCAGCCAGTTGACAAACATTCCAGTGAGAGAAGCAGTTTAGACACAACACAACATGATTTCTGACTAGCAATATTAGCAATCCCATCCTACAATGAGATGCTTCGTAAACATCCCCAGATCGAACCCCAATCCTGCAGGAAATGGTGCAGCCAGTGCAGCCACAAGAAAGATCCACACCGTCGAAGCCGAAGAGACGCGTAGACGAAGCGGATAAAGACGTGACTTGGAGCAGTGAAAGGTAGAGTAAAGAGAGGTAACCAGTTTCCACGCTGCAAACTCCAAGGTTTTGTGTACAAGATGTGTATTGGACTAACCAAATGGATGGGAGTCAGGGGTGTATATACAGCATTAATCAGCATTTTACAGCCATTTCCCACAGAGTTTACATCCAGTCGGCGGCCCGCTGCCTGTACCGAAAGTCAGGACGTGAGTCGTGCCCGCCATGCCTCTGAAGACGACGACCATCGCACCTCTGCTGAGTCTCGTCGCTCCTCGCGGCAATCGGCGCGGCAGTCTGTGGAGGAGTTGACAGCTGGGGTTGTTTGAACATATCTTTTTATATCTTTTTAAGAAATGCCTGGTGAAATGAAAAGAATGGTGAACAGTTCCGTATAAAACCTGGGGAAATGAAATGAACAGAATGGATTTGACAATCATGAATAATTCGGGATTTAATTAACTATCAACAATGGCCACAGGTGGACACCGGTTGGTTGTTGATTTTGAAGATGTTGGCCAACCATGGCCAACCTGTTTTAGGGTGGAAGAGGCCCGAAGAGGCAGATTGGACTGGTTTGTGATGAAAAAAGTGTAGTGTTTTTGTGCTTGTCCGTGATTTTATTGGATTTGGCCATATCATGATGCGTCACACATTGATGGACCCCCAAAGACCAATCTATGATGCTGTTTAGAAATGTTTGAAACCACCAGCCAGTTGGCAAACATTCCAGTGAAAGAAGCAGTTTAGACACAACACAACATGATTTCTGACTAGCAATATTAGCAATCCCATCCTACAATGAGATGCTTCGTAAACATCCCCAGATCGAACCCCAATCCTGCAGGAAATGGTGCAGCCAGTGCAGCCACAAGAAAGATCCACGCCGTCGAAGCCGAAGAGACGTGTAGACGAAGCGGATAAAGACGTGACTTGGAGCAGTGAAAGGTAGAGTGAAGAGAGGTAACCAGTTTCCACGCTGCAAACTCCAAGGTTTTGTGTACAAGATGTGTATTGGACTAACCAAATGGATGGGAGTCAGGGGTGTATATACCCACAGAGTTTACATCCAGTCGGCGGCCCGCTGCCTGTACCGAAAGTCAGGACGTGAGTCGTGCCCGCCATGCCTCTGAAGACGACGACCATCGCACCTCTGCTGAGTCTCGTCGCTCCTCGCGGCAATCGGCGCGGCAGTCTGTGGAGGAGTTGACAGCTGGGGTTGTTTGAACATGTTTTTTGAAGAAATGCCTGGTGAAATGAAAAGAATGGTGAACAGTTCCGTACAAAACCTGGGGAAATGAAATGAACAGAATGGATTTGACAATCATGAATAATTCGGGATTTAATTAACTATCAACAATGGCCACAGGTGGACACCGGTTGGTTGTTGATTTTGAAGATGTTGGCCAACCATGGCCAACCTGTTTTAGGGTGGAAGAGGCCCGAAGAGGCAGATTGGACTGGTTTGTGATGAAAAAAGTGTAGTGTTTTTGTGCTTGTCCGTGATTTTATTGGATTTGGCCATATCATGATGCGTCACACATTGATGGACCCCCAAAGACCAATCCATGATGCTGTTTGGAAATGTTTGAAACCACCAGCCAGTTGACAAACATTCCAGTGAAAGAAGCAGTTTAGACACAACACAAAATGATTTCTGACTAGCAATATTAGCAATCCCATCCTACAATGAGATGCTTCGTAAACATCCCCAGATCGAACCCCAATCCTGCAGGAAATGGTGCAGCCAGTGCAGCCACAAGAAAGATCCACGCCGTCGAAGCCGAAGAGACGTGTAGACGAATCGGATGAAAACGTGACTCGGAGCAGTGAAGGGTAGAGTAAAGAGAGGTAACCATTGGGAACCTGCTTCCAGAAGGGATGTTCATGCATATTCTTTGTATGCTCTTGTCATATCTTGTCATCATTGGACTGGCTCTTGTCATTAAATGATGTCTGCCAAACATGCTGGACGAAGTCATGCTCACTGAGAACAAGTTTGGTCCTTTTTGGCTGCTGGATGCTGAGATATGCTGAGATATGCTGAGATATGCTGAGATATGCTGAGATATGTTGTCATTGTCGAAGAGCTAATGTGCCCAAGGACCCAAACAACATTCTTCAAAATCCATGACCAGTGGGATACGGCCCTTGTTGGTGCATTCTGATCTTAAACTTTAAACTGCACTCAATCATGGACGTGCACAATGGTATTGCTAATATCCATTTCTGGGGATTCAACCAACGCCAGGCGATAGCCCCTAACAGCGCCAGGTCTCCCGGGTCTCCCGGAGCGTGTCCTCGGTTCGGCGGTTTCGCCAGGTCGAGGACTGGCGCCAGGTCGAGTTCACTATGGATATGGTGAAATGACATGAAAAAGAATGGGTGCAACATGATTTAACCATATAGATATCCATAGATACTGAATATCCATATTTGTAGATGTAGCCATAACCATATATAATTGATTTAACAATACTTAACAATCATAAATCATAAGGGGATTGAACTATCATCAGGGTACCCCAAAAAGGTTTATGTGTTTTTCTTTAAATGAATCACCGTAAGTTTTCCCTACTAACATGGCAATGTGGGGGATACTACACCATGGGCTGTCGGGTGATGTTTAAGTACACAGATATTTGGCTGCAGCAGTTTAGCTAGATTTGTTTGATGTTTCTGTTTCCCGGCATCAAGTCTTCTGCACTTGACATCGATGTAGGGCATTAATTAGTCAACATATTAGCTTCTTAGCGGCGCTTTATCAAATCAGGTTCTCAAATGTTCTAAAAAATATTGCGGTAAGATGTGGTAAGACAGGTGTAGTAAAAAGTGGTAACTACATCATTTTCACCAGATTTTCCTGACCGAAAACCATGTGATATGCAACGTTGAGGTCGCCATTGATCCATTGGGGTAGGAGCCGATGGAGCCGGAGAAGCACTCAGACGAAGCAGATGAAAGCGTGACTTGTAGCAGTTAAGCGTTGCTGGATCAATCCCATAGGATCCATGGTGCTGGTATATATATGTATATGCTAACATTGGGGGTATATTAATCACCATTAATCACCATTAATCACTATAAATGGACCATTTTCAATACCCATAGGATCCATGGTGCTGGCATATTAATGCTAACATAAAGGGGGTCTATTGATGGGATCCATGGAGCACCATTTTTTCGCAGCACCATGGATCCGTCATGGGAATGGTGATTCCGTTGCTGGACTGGGTCACCTTCAAACAACAACTACAGTGATGGAGAGAGACCTTGCAAACCTGGGGAGATCAGCAACAGTTTTTGGGGGAACATATCATTATCAAACCGACAAGCACAGGGTAAAGGTTTTACGTTCTACCCCTACCCCCCTTGTCAAATATGCAATTGATAATGCAATTGTTTGCTGAAGTCCATTGGAAAGTTTGCTAAAGACATTACGGAATGAGGATGTGTCGGGGGAATGAATTTGATGGTGTTGGGGACCATGCTTTAAGCTTTATAGTGGTTGATTTACGTCTCAATGGTGGGAGTTTTTTGCCGTTTGCAATGGCGAATATCAACACATCCAAGAGTCCAAGTCTGACAAAGGTGTTAAAATGGGGTATCACTCAAAACCATATATAGGTTTCAATGTTGGGTCTAGCTTTCCTTAGATGATTTTGGGGGTACCTCCATTTTTGGGAACCTCCATATGCAGGTTTCCAAAGTCATGGGGGGGACCCGCAATCATCATCCATTTTCTCGGATTTTCCATGAAATAAACCATCCAACGAGCTTGGGGATCTCCCATTGAGCTGGGTCTGATTTTCTGATTTGGGGGTGTCTCGGAATCCCCTTTTTTTGGAAACCCCCAGAATGTATCCATATCTGGTTGGTGGTTTGGAACATGAATGGATTATGACTTTCCATTCAGTTGGCAATTTCATCATCCAAACTGACGAACTCACTCCATCATTTTTCAGAGGGGGTATACCACCAACCAGAGATGTTAACCATTAATCACTATTTTCATCACTATTAGTCACCATTGATCACCATTAATCACTATAAATGGACCATTTTCAATACTCATAGGATCCATGGTGCTGGTATATTAATGCTAACATAAAGGGGGTCTATTGATGGGATCCATGGAGCACCATATATAGCAGCACCATGGATCCGTCATGGGATAGCTATATCCATGCGAGCGTCTGAATCCTGGCTGAGATGACCAATGACCAATGATTGGATAGGTGATGTTCGAATGTGGTTTCTAGTCATGGGTGGTTTAAATGATTTATGATATGGGTATGGATCAATACCTATTGATACCATTTTTAGGGGGATGAACATGAATTTTCCAGCTATTTTGATGTTCACCAGGGGTACAAGGTTTTGACACACTGCCATATATGATTGTTCTTCCCACATGAATTGGATATTTATGGGAATATTGATGGGAATGCCTTATGGATTGCTGGCTTTCTTCTTTCCACGCTCTCCAATGGACAGCGGCAGAGGTCTCAACGAGGTTTTTCCTTGGTATTCCAGGTGATGTTTGTCCACCTTTCTTTCACACAAACGCATGCTTTTGTCCAGTTTCTTTGCATGTGCGTTTTCCACTGTACTTGAGGAGGTTTCAGACGAGATCATCCTTGGCAAAAGAAGCGAAGAGGTATGCAGAGAAGATTACAGAGGGCCATCCTTTCAAGGAGGTTCTCTATCCTTTTTGGACGTTCTTGGAGAAAGAGGGAAAGGAGACCTTCAAAAGCCGCTACAGGACATGGATCCGAGGCCATGCAGAGAAAGTGGGCCAGTCTCTTTTGGAGAAAGAAAGGGTATCACCTGGCTCTTTCCTGGATTTGGAGGGGACAGTCAAGGCGAACGGAGTTCTCGATATGCCAGGGCATTTGGGAGGAAAGCCCGTGGCTTGTCGATTGGCGTTTTTGGAGAGGATTTTGTCGACAGGCAATTGGGACTTGGCGGAGAACTTCTGCAAGATAGTCAACTCCCCATGGAAGGCTACGTTGGAGGAGATGATGGAGGTTGGCTATGGAGTGAGACACGCAGTAATGTCATGGATACCTGGATAACTCTGGATGAATTAGCCTCTGGTAAACGGGCTAACATAGCTATGGAAAATCAATGAAACTCACCTTTTTCAATAGGTAAAGCAACTATTTCGAATTATGCCATTTTCAATAGGTCAGTACCTCGCTTAAGCCTACGTTTTTACTCGCTTACGCCTACGTTTGTGAAATATGATGGCAGCACCAATAGAAAGTGACATAGAAGTCTTTGAATATGACTGCAACAGGTGTGACAGAGATGATGAGCAGGACATTTTGATTCGATCATATGAATTGCATGTCACTTTTCAGAAGATGTTTCAACGTATCAGGAATATGTCGCAATGTATCAGGAACATGTTTGAACTCACTTGAAGAAGTTGCTTCAACGTATCAGTACCGTCTGGCAAGTTACTGTAAGACGAGGTGACACATGTATCAGGAAGGTCGTGCAATTTACTTACAAGTAGGAAGATAGATGTTGCAACGTATCAGGAATGTATTGCAAGCTACTTGACGAAGATGTTGCAAAATAGCAAGAACATCATTCAAGGGACTTGAAGAAGATGCGACAACGTCATGCGTGGAACATGTCGGAAGTGTCGCGCAGAAGATGTCGCAATGTATCAGGAACGTGTTTCAAGTCATTTGAAGAAGGTGCTACAACGTATCAGGAACATCTGGCAAGTTACTGTAAGACGAGGTGACAACGTATCAGGAAGGTCGTGCAATTTACTTACAAGTAGGAAGATGTTGCAACGTATCAGGAATGTATTGCAAGCTACTTGGCGAAGATGTTGCAAAATACCAGGAACATCATTCAAGGGACTTGAAGAAGATGTGACAACGTCATGCATGGAACATGGCGGAAGGGCCGCGCAGAAGATGTCACAATGCATCAGGAACGTGTTGCAAGTCATTTGAAGAAGATGCTACAACGTATCAGGAACATCTGGCAAGTTACTGTAAGACGAGGTGACACATGTATCAGGAAGGTCGTGCAATTTACTTACAAGTAGGAAGATGTTGCAACGTATCAGGAATGTATTGCAAGCTACTTGACGAAGATGTTGCAAAATAGCAAGAACATCATTCAAGGGACTTGAAGAAGATGTGACAACGTCATGCATGGAACATGTCGGAAGGGCCGCGCAGAAGATGTCACAATGTAGCAGGAACGTGCTGCAAGTCACTCGAAGAAGATGCTACAACGTATCAGGAACATCTGGCAAGTTACTGTAAGACGAGGTGACACATGTATCAGGAAGGTCGTGCAATTTACTTACAAGTAGGAAGATGTTGCAACGTATCAGGAATGTATTGCAAGCTACTTGACGAAGATGTTGCAAAATAGCAAGAACATCATTCAAGGGACTTGAAGAAGATGTGACAACGTCATGCATGGAACATGGCGGAAGGGCCGCGCAGAAGATGTCACAATGTATCAGGAACGTGTTGCAAGTCACTCGAAGAGGATGCTACAACGTATCAGGAACATCTGGCAAGTTACTGTAAGACGAGGCAGCAGGAGTATCAGGAAGGTCGTGCAATTTACTTAGAAGTAGGAAGATGTTGCAACGTATCAGGAATGTATTGCAAGCTACTTGACGAAGATGTTTCAACATACCAGGTTCAAGGGACTTGAAGAAGATGTGAAAATGACAGCACAAAGTGTCCCCAAGTGTCCCCTAAACCCACCCCAAGTGTCCCCAAGTGTCCCCTAAGCGTCCGCAAGTGTTAAGCTAAAGGGCTGTATCCCTTGGAGTTGGTTCCCTAGGCCTCCCCCAAGTGTCCCCAAGTGTCCCCTAAACCCACCCCAAGTGTCCCCAAGTGTCCCCAAGTGTCCCCAAGTGTCCCCTAAACCCACCCCAAGTGTCCCCAAGTGTGAACCTAAAGGGTTGTATCCCTTGGAGTTGGTTCCCTAAGCCCACCCCAAGTGTCCCCAAGTGTCCCCTAAACCCACCCCAAGTGTCCCCAAGTGTCCCCAAGTGTTAACCTAAAGGGCTGTATGCCTTGGAGTTGGTTCCCTAAACCCACCCCAAGTGTCCCCAAGTGTTAACCTAAAGGTCTGTACCCCATGGAGTTAACTCTGAAGTCAACATACAACATGTCGGCTTATAATGAGTAAAAAAGTCGGCTTAAATGAGTCTCGGACCTTTTTAATAGCTATGTAACAGTCATTACCAGATAGATCCAGTATGTCACCATTGGGAAATCAATGGAACCAGGCCTTGGCATAGTTTGGCCATGTCAATGCGGAGATTCGGCAGTAGAAATGAGGATATCTACCATGAAAGATGCGGGAATTAGCCACTAGTAATATATATATATATATAATGGTAAATGAAAGTGGAGGGTCAAATTAGTTGGAGATTTTAGCGTCAGCCCCAGGCATCCCTGGGCTACATATTAACCAGCAAGAATGGCTTGGGGTGAGCCCAATGGATGTAAGTGGTGTTTAGAAGTTGTTTACTGGATATGAATTCCGCCACTTCTATAGATCCTCACATATCCTCTTACTATCTCTTACTGACACTGTGGTTATTTGTGCCAACTAAGCCCATTTAGATTGCCACTTGTCATGAAAGAAAGAGGCTAAAAACTATCACAGAATGATTGCAATTAGAGTTCAGATGCTGAAACCAGTTGATCCACAGAAACTGTTCATATTCGTAGTATTGCAGCCAATCCGATTGTTAGGGGGCTTCATGGTGCTTCATGTTCGACCATTTTGGCCCCTGTTGGCTCATAGCAATGCAGGTTTATTGTTGCTTACCGCCCCACCTGGCTATTGCCCTGTAGGATGCTGTAGGCCTGTAGATTATTGTGCTTCATGTGCTTCATGTTCGACCATTTTGGCCCCTGTTGGCTCATAGCAATGCAGGTTTATTGTTGCTTACCGCCCCACCTGGCTATTGCCCTGTAGGATGCTGTAGGCCTGTAGATTATTTTCCTGCTATAGACATGTTTGACAAAGCAAAAGGTTGCACCATCCCATTTTATACATGTGTTCAAGAGTTTGATCCCTTTCATTTTCTTGGCTAGATCATGCTAGATCAATTTACCAGGCACTTTATGGATCCAAGTACTTCCTTCTCGAAGTGACAAATCAGCCCCCAGTCATCATATCATATCCCAGTCATACCATCAGTTGGTTATGCATCCCATTGTCTCCCCATTAATATCCAATTGCTTCCGTTGATATTAACCCTAGTACTACAAGCCATCGATTGTCATCATTCTCCATTGGTGCAATCCCTATTTGTTCATGCTTTGCCTCGTTAGCTCCCTTTGTTTTTCTTGCTTAAAAATTAATTAAATCATGTTAAATTGCCATTCTGGTTAATGTCAAGTGGATTCAGGAAAGACGTTGCAAGGTATACCCTGACCTATAGGGGGGGGGTGATTAATCCGATGTTGGCCATCGCCGCGCTTCGCCCGCGGCGGTCCCCCAGGTCCCCCTGTCCAGGTCGCCGAAGAGGCGCGGACGTTGGGCAAAAGCTGGATTTGACCAACAAATGGGGCGCTTGATGGGGTTCAGTTGATATGTGTTCACATATATATATATATGAATTACATATGATTATATAAGTTGATGAATTTTAAGTGGGTTTCCAACTATGATAGCTATATAGGAATTATGCTGGGTATCTATTGATATTATTATAGAGTTTTGAAATGTGTAAACCAACCAAAAAACATCCAAACACTGGGGGGCAACACCTTGCATGAATAAAGATCATATTCAGCCCTCTCATGTTAGTCATCTAGCCCGCGCATGTTAGTCTTACATGTGCCCTGAAACCATTGATCGCCTTTGATGGTTGGGAAAGTGAGGATATGCCATGTGATTTTGGGGTTACATGTATGCATTATGTTTGACCGGATGACCACGACCATGATGATGATGATGATGATGATGATGATGACGATGACGATGACGAGGTGTGAATGTTTAAGAACAGAAAACAGTGTTTGTTCAGGAGGCTTTCAGGGCCATTGGTTGTGAGGTAATCTGTTGGTCCCAGGTCCCAGGCCACTGTTTCACCCGGGTGCTGAAGATTTGAAGTGCGCTATGGGACAACCCCCACAGGAAGCGCCTCTGGACAAGAAAGTTGGTTTTTAACATTAAAAGTAAGTAGGTCGAGCAGGATTTCTGGTCGATGTACAGTAGCTTTAGTTTGATGGGGGTCTAAACCGAAAAGCTTAAGTGGGGGGGTACCACCTTGTAGTAACCAAAAGGAATTGGGTCATTAGGCATGGATGGGGACATAAATAGCTGACCCAGAAATCCGAACTTCAGACTGCAGTGCACATCTCGTGCTGACGAGAGATCAAGGTGAGAAGGTACTGTACCAAGTCACCTTATTGAATCCTTTTGATTCATGTTTCATTCAAATGAATCGCTCAGCCCAATGTCCGGCTGGCAGAACTAAATGCATTTGCACAGTTGACAGTTAAATAAAACCTATAGAAGTAAACAAAAAGTCAACGCTAAAACTCTGCTACGTAAACCGTGGGCAACCCCAAGTATTTATTTTAACGCGACCCTGCATGAATTAACACTAAACCATTCACAGACGAAACCTGAGCAAACATGAATTGATCCGTCTATCGTGTTTATGTATGTTCATGTTGTTCAGTCTTTTATATGTTGTTCTTTCTCAAGATCATATACACACGTGTGAGCAGAAAATGGAATTACAATGAATTACGTCTATATATATAATATTATATATATATATTGTTCATAACAGCATATGTACATAACATATATCATATCTAGATAAAAAAACATAAACATATTTTTCGGATAATACATCGGATATATCATTAATATATGTTTGAACCACCAAATTCCACAGCAAAAACACTGCTCTCAAAAACGGTGCAGGAAAGATCCGCCTCGGCGGCGAGACTCCTTGAAAGATATCCCACAGCAGGTGGTGAACCGTGCAGGACCTGGTCTTCGGTGGCGAAAAAACCCGAAGAAATTGCTGGATCATCCCACGGCAATGTGAGGCCCCCGTTAGATATGTGAACGTTGGTTTAGCAAAAGCCCCAGTAACTAGTTCGTTATAAATACCATAAACCATAGTGACATTGGAGTTATGTTCACCAACTGAACGCTATCGAGCTGGGGCATCACATTGTAAGTTTTATCCCTGGTTCAGGAGTCGGGTCCACTGGGTTATTTTCCAACGGATTCGTGGATCTACCAAGGATGCATGGAAATGATTGTGGTGGAATGCGAGTATCTTTACATCGATAGAAACACACAAGATCTTTTACCCGAGTTGCATCAACATCGGCACAGTTTATTATTCAAGATGTTTTTTTTTGAACGCGTAGTTCCTTCGCATCCGCAGTGACTAACTAGCTGAGAGGCAACCCCTTAGCAACTAGGTTTTTACCCAACTCCGTGACTCGCACAATTGTTGCTTGGGAACTCAATTTCAGCCCTGCATATAGGACACTTGTTTTTGGTGTCATCAATTCCAAGAAATCTCGGGTATGGCAGCTTAAGGCTGATGCCTATGTTCATTTTACCTCCACGGGGTTGTTAGAAAATCGTTTTCCTCAGTAGAAGTGAAATAAATGGGGAATTTATCACCCGCACCCGCATTGTTTGTGGGTTGTGCCCTCCAGCAATTTAGCACAGCCTATTGCTATCGGCAATGACACATTCATAGATGATTTTGCATGTTAAACATTGCTGGTTGGTGGTTTGGAACATGTTTTATTTTCCATGGTATCTGGGATAATCCTGCCCATTGACTTTCATATTTTTCAATATGGTTAAAACCACCAACCAGATTGTCATTCTCCATAGCAAAACATGAAATTTTAGTGACACTTCTCAAATCACCAGAGGGTAGTATCCTCATATTCCAGGAGCACCAGCGAGCCAGCGACCGGGCAAGGGAACTCTGGAAGCTTGTCATTTGAGTTTTTTTTTCTAGAACAACTTAGTTAGGTCATTGTTTGGTGGAAGCAATAGTAATTACAGTGTTTTTTTTGGATTATGATGGGTCTGACATTTGGTGTTTATCATGTTTGTTTTTTTTTTTATCATGTTTTATCCCATCCTTATTTTCGGAATCTAATCCCTTACTCCGTTCATATTTATACCCCAGCATTTCATGGATACGGGCATGATCAATGGTAATTTCAGGATCCTAAAATGGTTAGGTCATTGTTTGGGGGGATATTCCCTAAAAAAATGGAATCGGTACCTCCAATCAACCGGTTCCTGTTGCATGACCATTGCCCTGGGACCATTATGGTTGGGGGTTGTTTAATACGAACAGGTTTTATCCAGGTTGACCCTTAAGTCACGAGTAGTCGGCGCCATAATTGGCGATCATGGGCTGAAGAAACAATGGGGGCCCCCAAAGGATAGCTAAGTTGGTGAACATAACTCCAATAACTATGGGTTTATGACACTTATAACTTATAACTATACTTATATAGTGGGTTTTATAAACCAACAAACATAGCTTGGGGGCACCTTGTATCAGTATGGTCCGGAATTCAGAACACTATTGTTCAGAATGGTCTTAGCATGCGAGCAGGAGGTCAGTGTGATGTCTGTACAGACTGTTGCTTAAAAAGAAATCGACCATGTTTGGATAGGGCGAAGAGCTATGGAACGGAACATCTGGTGAGATGATTGACAGTCCAAACTGGAATCAAGGACCTATCCTAGACCCAAATGCAGGAGTGGGAATAGGAGAAGCAGAATTTCAAGCACCTGAGTGCCACCCCAGGAATCATGAGTAAAATATTTGGCTACTCAACCTAAATGGAGGAGTTAGATTCAGTTAGATCGAGCTGACAACAATGACCTCCAGTCCAGATCTGTGAGACCATTGATTTCATTTGCTCGTGCCGCTCCAAACAACACATATGCTGCGCCATTTCAACACGACGGTGTGGTCTCGTGGACGTGCTGTGCTGCGATGCAGTCTGGTACCAATGTGAGGCCCCCGTTCGATAGCTAAGTTGGTGAACATATCTCCAATGTCAATGGTATTTATAACGAACTAGTTACTGGGACTTTTGCTAAACCAACGTTCACATATCAAACGGGGGCCTCACATTGTACCAATGTTGACCAATCAGGCAATGTATCCTTTGGTGGCATCATATGAGAATCAACACGTACCACGGTTCCCTTTTTGTTTTTCGCCCCGTCACGGTGGATGGTTGCGAAATATGAAGAAATCCTGCACCAGTTAGGTGGTGTAAACATCCCATTATTTCTTTTGGCTTTCTACCATCCTTTCGGTGGTGCAGGATTTCGCAACCATCCACAATAGGAAACTATTCTCAATATCTTGTTTTGAAGTGGTGGGAAGGTTGATTCTTCATGAGAGAATTTAAGTAAATACTCCCTTCTTTACCCTTTGGAAAATGCGAATTCCACGGTGTCTTGGTGTCCTGGTGTCACCAACCCAAAACAGTACAAACCAGCCTATACCCGTCCTGAAATTACAAAGGAAGTGGAACACAACTACAGTTTCTAGATGATCATTGGAATTTGAAGATTCTTTAGGATATGGATAACTATATAACTACGTATATTGTGATTTCCACCTTCTAAGTGGATAAGTCAACAGTTGAACATTGGGATTTGTCCATGTAGGATGAGGGGCTTCAAATAAACCAACCATTGGGTGATCCAGTTTGTGTTTCCCTCAGGGTCAAGCTTGATACATGGTCGAAGGCCTGCAGAGGTACATGAATGGTGAGTAGCTTGAAATATAAAGAATGGAAGATGCCAGAGGCAGGGGTGTTGTAAAATGTAAGTGTACATGCTTAAAAATTGTTCTACATGGCCTATTTTTAAAATGTTCCTCGCAAGGATGCGTTTTTTCATGATGTTTCCATGTCTAGATATCAAACTCCTATGAGGTACTGAACATGTTTCATATACCATCTGGTTATTTGTTACATAGCCATGGAAAATCACCATTTTTAATAGGTAAACCGGTAAACCATCTATTTCTATGGCTTAACCATGGCTATGTTAAATAGCCAGATGGTAACACGCCCAGCTGGTCACTGGTCACTGGAGTCTCAGGAAGGACGCGGAGCTGATGTGTTTCTCGGTTGGTCGGTTGATGGAATTGGAATCCCAATCAAACCACTGGGGGATTTTTTAGTCCAGGGTTGAAGTGCTACCGGTAGTTTACATTTTTTGTTTAAATTGTTTGTTTACAAATTGTGTCCATGCTTAATTAATTACATACATTGAATATCATTGAAGTATATTCTATATAGTATATAGTCTGTAGTCATCATGTGCATGTCTATATATTAGTATTTTATTATTTGATATGACATGTATATATAATATATAAATGATATTATGTCTATATGTATATACGTCTACCAATCGAATCTACTCCAAAGCTATCCAATCCACCTCACTCTTGTGCGATAAAATCAAACCTGATCCAATCAAATCTAACAATTTTGTTTGAAATGTTCAATCCATATATGTCTAACTAGCTCTTTATTTATCTCTTTATCTATATCTTTGTTTATCTCTCGATCGCTCTATTTCTCTATTTATTTGATCTATTTACTGTACTGATTTCTCCATGCATCCATCTATCGATCTATCTCTACAATATGTATATATCTATATGTTTCTAGATCCATATATGTATATACACTTATAGTACTCATACTTGTCCGTTTAAGATTGATTAAAACCACCAAAGTGCAAAGGCCTTTCAGTTGTGGGGCCCTGCAATGACGTTGTCGTTGTCATCCGAAGGTCGAAGCAGAAGGTGTCAAATCGGAAGCAGGTGGACCTCATGGGCCTGTCCATATGTATATAATATATATTGATACAATGTGAGGCCCCCAAGATATAAGTTGGTTTATAAGCCCCAGTAGCTATAGTTATAAATACCATAAACCATAGTTATTGAAGTTATAAACCAACTTAGCTATCTTGGGGGCCTCACATTGTATATATATAATATATTGATATGTTTGTTGAACATCTTTGAGATATTGATGGCATTATTTCCAAACCAATGGGCATGTTTTAGATTCAGACACATTTGGGGATTTGAAGCTACACCAGTGAAACCTGGCCGGAGCAATTCTGAGGACCTCCCAATACGTCCGAGATTCAGCACGAACATCGATAGAAGGTTGAAAGGATTCGATGTATGTGGGATTTGAGCATGTCCAAGCTATACTGTAGAAACTATATAGATGCTAACTGCATTCCGCAACAATCATGCGTTTACGGGCTATTTGATGAATCATCAACAATTAAAGCCACGTGGTACGTGTAGGTTCCAACTATTTGATGTGGGTTTGTCCCAAAAAACATGAGGCACCCCCAAAAATCCAACGCTTGCTCTTCACATTCCCGTATTCAAATTGCAATGTAATAAATATTACTGGAATTGTCATTATGTCTCTTCATACATATCCCCATTTTGGGTTAGTGTTTTACTCCCAACTTTGTCTAACCCCTGGGAGAAAAAAAAACAGCAGCTCCGCAGGTGGACAGCGACGACGAAGCCACGCCGCGGGCGGCTTCAAAACCACATGCAGAGCCACACTCCAGGTGCTGCTGGTTGAGCGAACCTGGAGGGGGAAGTTGGGCTAACCTTACAATAAACCCTCTGGGAAATTGACATAGACCCTGAAAAAGTATATATATATATACATATATATATATAGTGGAAACTAATCTTCCTGAAACATAATGAAAAATGCATTCTTTGTAGTGGGAACTAATCTTCCAACCCCGACAACTGCTAGGGTCTATGTTAATTTACTGGAGGCTAAGCCATAATATAATAATGTAATGTACCTAAATCAAGAATATATGGTAAATCCAGTAATCAGCCCAATTTTTTTTAGGATACGATGGAACATTGATTCAAGGATATACCGTATTTGCTGTCATCAAATGTGGCTGGAAAAATCCCCGAAATCATCGCCTTAGGTTGGGATACAGCATTATAGAATCCCTATACAACATTATACAACTATGGTTTTAAAGCCACTTCACTTATGGGTTAAACATTCGCACATCCTAAATCTATATATTATGAAAACTAGGAGGTTCCGGGGTCCAACTTTATTCTACTTCATTTTCTCTGGACTCAGTAGATCACCAACCGGGTTGCATTTCACTTGGCGCCTGCAGGCGATCGGCACGTTCCAAGTCCTCACAACGAACCGTTGAAGCTGTGACTTGGGAGCAGGTTGTGTGGGATGAGATGGGAATGGGTCCGTCACCAAATCTACCCTCTGGTAATTCAACATAGCTATTGAAGCCATGGCCATAGAAATAGTTGATTTACCCAGCTACAAAATGGTGGTTTTCCATAGCTATGTAAACGTTTACCAGAGGGTAATAGTCAATAGTAATCAAACGCGGCAATTGAAAATCCTCAATTTATAGATGATCCCAGCTATAAACCTCCATTGTAGGGGACTTTCCATTGCCAAGTTTGATTACCAGATGGTACCCCATGGGCCGCGCAACTATCTTGATCGACCCAATACGAAACCTGATTTGTGCATATTTGTGCGAGGTGCGGGAAAACTGAATTATAGTTGCATTGATTGGGACTGTGCGGTCAGCCCTTGACTGTTTTGAAAACCTGGCATGTAAAAAACATGCATAGGGGATCATAGGGGTACATTTTTGAACCACCCAAAACTGTTTGACAGGTCCAGAACTTCAGGATACACCAAACATGTTCCCTCTGATTTTCACTACATCCCATTTTTGGCCATGATCTTCACATGATTTGGACATTGCTAGTTTGGGCATCGGTTCCGACACCCAAAACCATGATTAGCCAATAGTTATGCCTAGCCACTTTGCTATCGATTACCGGGGGGGCCATATTGTAGGATTTCCCCATCAAGCACCAGATATGGTGTGTTTCACTCAGGTAGATGAGAGAGGAGGTACCCTGGGGATGGGGTCATGTTTGGTGATTTCATGACTGAAACATGTCGGCGAATACTGGGCAAAGCATCAATTCTATGGCCTGAGAGCTCCCCCCAAAAAAGATAGAAGTTGGTAGAATCCTAGCAAAATCTATTTGTGTTGGGGTTTATATATGTAGAGTTGGTAGAATCCTGCCAAAATCTATTTGTGTTGGGGTTTATGTAGTTCCAGATTGAACATTTTCCGGATTTGTTGTCCGGTTCTTTTGTTTGTAGACCTGAAACTGTTGAAACATTTAAGAAGCGAACATGAAAATAACATCAAAAGCACAGCTTGCCATGTGGCCAGAAAACATGCATGTTCTTCTTCTAGAAAGCAGGTCGGTTTTGGTTGTTGTTGAATTCATTTGCCTTGCCTGCTACCTGTGCGCTATATGCCTATGATTTGTTGGCAACCTGGAGGATGATACTGCACTTCCTGAGAAGGGACTTACTGTAGCAACCAAGATCATTCCTCAGAAGGTACATGGATCCATAATGATCCATACAATAAATATTATAATATATATATATATATATGTATACATATAGATATATACTGGTATAAGGTATAAGTATACAGTATTACTATACAATAGTACACAATAATATATAGTTTAAATATAATATAAAGCATAACGACACGATCCCTTACAAGGAGTGGACATTGCACAATCTTCCGCCAGGTTCCCAACGGGGGACTGCTGATTTTCCACAGGCGGGAGAATGCTGCAGTGTAGCCTGTGGGGAATGCTGCAGTGTAGCACCACACTTGGTGTTTTTTAGTTTTGTTGGGACTAGATGGGTTTAGCATAAAAATCCCAGTTGAAGTTGAAAAACTCAGTTGAAGTCATTTTGGTTGACCAAAAATATCAATCAACACCACTAGGTCCTTAGGTCATACACATCCAATTATATATATATGTATATAGATACTCTACATCGGTTGAAGCCTTGGGTAGGTTTTTGTGACGTCGAAATCACCAAAATCTGAATTGTTCATGATTTCTTGATGAGTTGTCACGTGTCATAAGATAGGTAAAGTTCATGCCTGTGTGTTCGCGACAACATCTTTTAATGGTGGGAACCCAATGGCAGAAAGCCAGAAACCTACCACTTGGGGATGGTTTACGGCATTTTATGTGCTGAATTCCTTATTTTGTCTGATTTAACCAGTGTGCAAATGACATGGCACAGGCTTCCAAAATCGAACAAAGGGAAAAAAACACCTCAAGACTTACCCAAAGTCAAAAGCACCGATTTGGGGGTTTCTTAAGATGGGGGCTCCTCAACACCATGGGTTTTAATACTGTTTTGGTCTAAATGTTCCTTGATTTGGGATGCCCCAGGTTAGGTAACCTCCATATTTCACCCAACGGTTTTTTCTTAACGAAACACCACAATCACCGGGCGCTTGGATAGAGATCACCAGGAGTTGTAGGCATGTTGATCCGAAACTCAACTTATGGCCAGTTGTGGCCCAACCAACAATTACGAATGGGATTAATTATAATGATGTATATAACATTAGTATACATTAGTTACTTATAAGGACGTTTATCCCAGTTTTAATCTTTAGAACATGCTATAACTGTTAGTTGGGCGCTGTAGTTTCCCAAAAAGTTCTGGAGATGCTCCGTAGAATGAGAGTCCAGAAAGCCCATACTGCTGAAAAGCCCTCCAGAAAGCATGGGTTTAGTATTGGAGCTTAGCCGCTATGCATTTGTGCGGCCCAAAGCCAGGTGTAAAAAACACCCTCAGAGATTAGAAACCCAGTGATAGTATCAGTAGAGACTCTAGAGTCCCACTATTTATGATTTATGATCATAATAAGTATTTAAAGTATTACCAAGCCATTTAGAAGATTTTATAAGCACTTATAAGCCATTCATTTAAATGATGTAATAATCATAGATGATAATGATATTGGTACTTAATCATAATAAGCATTGATGACAAGGATTCATAACTGGTTGGTGGTTTGGAACATTTGGATTATTTTTCCACATATTGGGAATTTCATCATCCCAAGTGACGAACTCATATTTTTTTCAGAGGGGTAGGTCAACCACCAACCAGATAAGTATTACAGAACCATGGTCATCAGGGCACGCGCGCCATGCGAGCGCCCCAGGACGAAGTTCCTCTTGGCGATCGGAAAGTTCCCAGGACGTTCGGACCTTGCATCGGCTGGCGTTGAAATGGGGAAAACATGGCGTTTAAGATGATCATGTTGAACACAAATCCATGAATAAATATGGATATATCATGATTTATATGTTGAAGATGATATATGAATGATTTATTTTGTTGAAGATGATGTATGAATATATATATATATACATATATTAATACACATTATCCAACAAAATGTTGCTTCTATGATTCTATGTCTGAAAAGAAACGTCTTGTTTCATCAACAGGGTGCAACCCAGAGAATCCAGTTGAAGCAGCAAAGCAGCAAAGCAGCGTTCAGGTCTGCAAATGGCCAACGTTTCCCGGAATTTCGGAGTATGTTCAGATGTGTTCAGCCTCTCTTAGTCATCCAACTTTGAGCTGTGATTCATTACCCTCTGGTAATTTAACATAACTATGGAAAGTCACCATTTTGTAGCTGGGTAAATCCACTATAAATGGGCCATTTTCCATAGCAAACTGTTAGTTTACCAGAGGGTATATTGCTTCGTTGTTGAGCCATTGAGGTCAGCTAAGCAAAGGAAGGCAGATGTGAAAGATGCCGCCCGGGGCTGCAGTTGCGGGGTTGAGTCAAAGGGGTTTGCAAATGGTCATCATCATAGTGGAGTTGGTGTTTCTATATTTTTGATTTTACTTGGAGAACGCTACAGGTATTGGTGAAAATTGGCTTACCTCCTGAAGAATCGGAGCATTCATGCCGAAAGTTGTGCGTGAAAGTTTTTGCAACGTGTGTATTTTGTAGGTCATACACAGATATGTTTCCAAAGTTGACGGAACAAGAAGAATAACCATCATGGGTAGACGATGGTAAATGATGGTAAAGGACGATAATTGAATATAAACCATGGTAGTATAGATGACAGTAAATGTCGGCACATGACAAAAATAATGGTAGATGATGACATAACGATCCATGGTTTGCCAGTTTTGCCATAGTGTTCCCACTTTTGCAATATCATCACTGGTCGGGACGAACCTTATCTCTAAATGTAGCAACCAAACCTTTTTCGCCCAAGCCAATCTATAGACTCTGAAAAACAACTGAACCATGGTTGTTGTTATTTAGTCATAGCTAGATTTATAAGATGACCACTATATACCACTTTTGTTGTTCTAAAATTGTTTGACAATAACAACCATGGGAAGGTTATGTAGTACTCGTACTAAATTACTATATATATAAGTTGTTTGTGCTGTAAGGGTGTTTCCAACATTGAGAAGATAATGTATAAAACTAGGCATTCGACCCTTACAAATAGTTGGTACGTCTTTCCATTGCTAAAAGTTATTTGAGAGTCTAGGTACACTTTAGACTTTGTTGGCGTAGTCTGCACGCGTCAACTAGTTGTAGTCCCCAAGCCTTTTCTTACCTTGAAAAAGGGAATATTAATGAACAGTGCAGTTGTTGTTTCTGGATTTTTCTGGATTTTGTGGGTGTGTCTCACTTTTTGATCCAGCTTTTTGACACTCAAAACGAATGGGAGATGACTCCATCTATCAAATACCACAAGGTGCCCCCCAAGATATAAGTTGGTTTATAATCCCCATTAACTATAGATATAACCCCCATAAACCCTAGTTATTGGACTTATGTTCACCAACTTAGCTAACGAACTGGGGCACGACTTTGCATCTTTGGGCTTGTCCAAAGATGGTGAAAACCGCGCATCCACCGCCTTAGTGCCAAGGTCCACAACGATGAGACGTCAAAAAGCCGCAAACTCGGACGCAGCTTTGTTCGGGTCGTTTCTCAGATCCAAAACTGATTCCAAAACGAACTAAGAATGAATAGCTGAACTGGATTTTTACTATGCTTCAAGCAGCCCAGCTATACCACGTCAGAATAGCGAGTTCAACGTTGACGTTTTGACGTTTAGCCGCTGGGCTCTGTCAATCTCTGGCATTTCGATCCCATGATCCCAGAAGGAGAAGTGTATAGCGAGATATGGCATTGTATACTGAATATACTGAATATGTATCTTTCTATATATATATATTATAATGTGTATACTGAATGATGTGTATACATATATATATACATAATGTAATGTGTACGCTATTATCATTCTCACATGTATCATTGCATGCTATGCATGGTTGCTGTTTTGTGGTTTCAATCCAACCAAAGTTCAAGCAAGCCATGGTTGCAACGTTCAAAAATAGGGATGACGCAGAGATTTTGAATTGATTCAGCTGACAAGCCATCAGCAGGATGTGCTCCCATCTCTGCATTTGTTGGCACATCTAGCTTGGTAAGCCATATGTTTGACCACATTTTTACTGGGAAGTTTCTGATTCTGGAGTCAACAGTGGTGTCCTCTTCAGGTCCTGAAGCAATAGTCTGAGGTCCAAGAAGAGCTGGAAGCAAGTCGCCAACCCCTGCACGAACACCCAGAACTCCCAGGTGGTGGTACTTACTGTATGGGCCAATAGCAATACCCAAACAGTTGCAGAAACACTTAGAGGCCCAGAATTGGGTGGAAACCAATACAGGAAACACATGTAAGGGCAAAGCACAGGAAAAATTCCCCCTCCATGTGATCGTTCCATTGATGAACATCATTCCATGGAGGATCTTGTTTTCCTCCCTGGGATGGTGTTAGTGGGCTAGCCTTGTTGGTCAGTTGTCCACATTTCAAGATTGCTCTGCAGGGAACTTGGTGATTTTGCCATGTTCTTGGATCATCTTGGATCACCATTGCCCAGAGGAACATCAGGAATTGTGTCTTCGGAAAAAAGGTTTGATGCTTTAATAAGGTGTCAGATATGACACATGGATGGTCATTGACTGTAGGGCAGGTCGCTAACCCTAGCAAAGCTTGCACAAACAAGACATTAAGACTCAGCATGCTGTGCAACTACACTTTTTTGCTATTGGTTTATCCTATTATAGATGTGCTGTTTTTTTTTGGAAAACCCACTCACTTCGTTTGTGATTTGGATACATTAAAAACAGGAAACCATCAAAAAACCAGCACCTGCTGTCGTCATCGCCGTTCCACCGATGTGCGATGTCGTTCCTAAGGAGTCTTTCGGACGCCGAGCAGATGTGTTTCTTGGTTGCGATGAGGATGATCCGAGGCACGTCAGAGGGTCACATTCCCGACGTCGGGGTCACATGTTCAACAAGAAATCACAAACTGATCAATATATGTATATAATATATGTATATGTATATATAAAATATGTATGTATGTATGTATGTATGTATGTATGTATGTATGTATGTATGTATGTATGTATGTATGTATGTATGTATGTATGTACTCATGTATGTATGTATGTATGTATGTATGTATGTATGTATGTATGTATGTATGTATGTATGTATGTATGTATGTATGTATGTATGTATGTATGTATGTATGTATGTATGTATGTATGTATGTATGTATGTATGTATGTATGTATGTATGTATGTATGTATGTATGTATGTATGTATGTATGTATGTATGTATGTATGTATGTATGTATGTATGTATGTATGATGTATGTATATATATATATATATGTATATGTATTATGTATATATAATGTATATGTATTGTATGGAGGTTTCGTAAACTTGGGGGTACTATCTATAGCTGGATGGTTCATAATGGAGAATCCATCTATAAATGGACAATTTGATGATACTCCCATGACTTTGGAAACCTCGTCCATATAGGAATGGACGTTGTTTTGGGAATGGGCCGAAACTCCGAAAAATCACAATGCCAAGCTGAAGCCAGACCTGTAGGCCTATCGTACTTTGGAAATGCCATCTTCAAACTGCCTATAGAATAATGTAGGTATTTTATGATTGAAGAATGAAATGTGACCACCAAATTCTGTATTAAATTGGAAAGATTATATCAAAATTACGTTTGGTTTGCAGTCTCAAACTTAGCGACTTTCTGTCACAAAGGTCATTTTCAATCCGATGAGCTTTGGTTGACCAACATTCTGACGGGTTGAAATGATCAGTCAGCACATATCAGCACTTGGAATTCCTCTTGCAGAGTGATACCCCATAGTTCGGCAAGTTGCTTTATAGCGATATGAAGGGTTTATGAAGGGTTATACAGTTGGGTGGGTTTAGAATAGTTTTACAACTTACAATGCATTGTTTCTGTGTTGACTTCGATCATTCTGAAGACGCAACATGCTGCAAATCCCAACATCCACCAGCCCACGCCGACAGTGAAATCTTCAGGTCGCCGTCCGCAGAAAATCAGGTGGGACGCTGATGGCACATGATGGCACCAGATCCAGAAGTCCTGGTCGAATCCTTTAGTATTGGATGGATTAAGATATTTGCGCAGCCCATGGGGAACCATCTGGTAATCAAACTTGGCAATGGAAAGTCCCCATTGTATGGAGGTTTATAGCTGGGACAATCATCTATAATCTTACTGGTGCTTAACGCAGGGAATGAGGGAATGATCCATTTCATCACTAGTAATTTCATCATCCCAGCAACCCCCAGCATCCCATGTTTAGCACCAGTAAGCAATAGTAGCATATTACGTAGCTATATGCTATAAATAGTGGAAATATCGCCAACAAACATGGGTGATATCTTAAAACATATACATATACCACACTGTTTGCTGGTTGCAATCTCTGAATCTCAATCAAAACCCCTTTTCTATGTTTATATATACTTATTTCATATCTATTTTAGGAGAGTATACCCTTTAATTATATATCATCAACTATACTCCGTTAGACATGATATACTCCAATCATTTCACTGATCACAACTCATGATTGTTTGTTTTGATGGCATACTTGGATGTCCATTCCAGGAATTGCAACTGGACAACGCACAATCCATGCGATATTGCATCAAACAATAAGGCTAAGATCGATCCACAGATCTTCCCTTTTCACCAATCCAATGCATGAGAATACTGGGGTATCAGGTATTACCCTCTGGCTATTTCACAATATTTAACATAGCTATGGAAAATGGCCCATAGAAACAGATGATTTTCCCACACCAACCTCCATTTACAAGGGATTTTCCATGGCTTTGTTAAATAACCAGATGGTATTGTGCTATACCCTCTGTTAAACTAACATAGCTATGGAAAATTCACCATGTTTAATGGGAAAATCAACTATAAATGGGCCATTTTCAATAGCTATGTAACAAATTACCAGAGGGTATATACATGGTACACCAGGTACATTGCATGTATTAAATTTTGCCGGCGCAAACCACAGGTGGACCGCGACGGTTTCTGCGACGCTGGAAGCGACGTGGGAAGCGAAAAAACCGTGGAGCCGAGTGAAGAAAGACGTTCGAGGCGATGGACTAGCAGCAAAACATGGTGGTACCCTCTGGTAAACTAACATAGCTATGGAAAATGGCCATTTATAGTGGATTTTCCCTTTAAAAATCGTGAGTTTCCATAGTTATGTTAGTTTACCAGAGGGTAATGGTGTAATGGTGGTGAGAATGGAATAATAATATCACCATGAGATAGTCACTGTAATAACATCATGTTTATCGTACCACTTATGTTATATCATTTTAAAATACCACTGTTTTATTATATGTGATATTATCATCTGTTATGATATGATTAATAATGGGATAATAATATGTTTTTTTTTTTTTCTGTACCACCATCATTATATTATATGATGATCCCATATTATCACATGTTATGTTGTATCACAATTATATAATGGAACCAGGGTGATTGTAGATTACAGTCATGAGAACACATAGCAATAGTATGTGATGATATGGGACAATTGTTGATAATATTTCAATATGGGATAATCGCAACTTTGTTGGTGGAATAATTGTGATACTCGTTGATTATCTAAGGGATTGCTATGGAGTTTACTATGGACAGTCACCATTTTGAATAGGATCATCATCAAGGTTATCATCTATTTCTATGGACAATTTTCCATAGCTATGTTAAATATCTAATTACACAGTAATGTGGGATCAGAATTGGATAATCAGATAATATAAGTAGAATATGGATAAGATAAGGTGCATGGGATAGGAATAGGATAAGAATTGGAGAATGTAATTGGGATGTAATCAGTATTATTATCCTTAGGGCTACTCCAAACACCTTCTGAGACTGGGAAATGGGAGGTGCAAGGAAATGGTAAATATGTTCAACTTCTCAGATGCTATTTGGAGCACTAGGGATGGGAAAAGAATGGGATTAGAATTGGATAGTATAATTTTCCCTCCCCGTTCATATTAACCATTCTCCATAAACCATGCTGGAATGTAGGTAATAAAGCCACTGTATCACCTGGAAGCATATCATGGTGGTACCCCAAAGACGCGAAAGCCGGGCATCATCTTCGGCACAAAAACATGGCTATTGATCAGGATATGAATGGGGCTGGCAATTCCCAGGTAAGAATGGAGATATTCCATGGTACCAAAAAATATGGGTCACCATTCCAGGTACCAAAAACGGCCATGGTGATTCATATTTTTTTGGTACCCTTTGGGACCCAGGCTGGCGGCGTCTTTTTGGATCCATGATTGGGGTGATTTGAAGCATTCCCAGCATTATAATTAAAGTATTATATTTATCTATCTATATATACCCTATGGATCCAAGTACCTTCTCAGGAAGTGTTTGGGGTATAATTTACTATAATTTGGAGGGTCAAGTACCTTCTCAGACAGTGTTTGGATCCATAGGGATATATATATATGTATATATAATTATATTTACCCTCTGGCTATTTGTTACATAGCCATGGTATAGATGGCCCATAGAAATAGATGGTTTACCTGGTTTTACCGTTCTTAAAAATGGTGGATCTTTCCATGGCTACGTAACAAATAACCACATGGTATCTATCTATCTATATATGTATAATTATATTAACATACATATATATATATATATATATATATCTAGAGATATGATGTGGCAAAACCAAGCATAATCCATCCCAGTTTTGCCCGACATACGCTGCATAACCATGTCATGTCTGAACTATGCCTATTTGGACGTCCGCTATTGGATTTGCCCACGGTCTATAGCATGTCATGATACTTGTCGATAAAATGTATATAATAATATAATATATGTCTATAGTTTAGTTTAAATTATTGTGCTATGTATATCAGCAATCAATAATGTCTATAATATAAGTTGATTTGTTTTGCTCATTTATCACCTATGTACACTTGTGTAGATTCGTTTAACTTATTGCAACATATAAATACTCTAATATTTTTTACTTGGCCATATGACATCTCTATATTCAATAGGTACATGCTCTACAAATGGTGACTTATCCCGCCAGCCATGTGAGATGCCAAGAGGTTTGAACCAAGGGAACTGACCTTTTATTTGTGGCGGCTGGGGTCCCGTTCTTGAGCCAGTTGCCTTATAGCAACCACACTTGACGCAACCATAGATACTGATGTGGTGAGTACAAGTGTATACAACCCACCACTTACATATATGTATGTGTATATATATATGCTTATATGCATGTGTGTTTTTGGATGTGAACAGCACTATGCACAAGTGGAGGCTTTTCCACCCTCAGATGAGGCTTTTCCACCTTCAGATGAGATCCTCTTGGATGTGTCCATACCATATTTGGTTTAAGAGCGTCGTTTGATAGTCAAACTTTTGACAACTTTCTGGGAATGACCAGCCATGTAACATGTAGATTACTTTAAAGTTTGCCATGCGTACCACAAAATCCATTGATTTACAGTAACATCCTATTATCCTATACACATGGCTACGCCGGCTACGCTGAACGGTTTTGTCGAAGAAGCCTTGAGTAAATGATGATACCTTGACTGCCACACACAATCCCCATGTTTGGACAAAACTTCACAGTTGAAGGGACTGACAGATTTTACAAGGTTGGCCCCTCTCAGTCATATTTCTTGATGTATAAACCCAGTTAAGTTCGTTACATCCCCCTTAAACCCAGCGGTTCACCAAATGATGTTCACCAAATTAGCTCTAGATATAAACTCCATTGACTAGTATCAGATGTATAATCTCTGTTTATCTGTTTAACAACCATATATAATCAGATATCTAGATATATATCAAAGAAAGCCGTTGTTCATCGTAATGTTCACCCAGCTATCAACTGGGGGGCCCAACCCCATCTCCGAGATGGCCAGGTTCAGCGAAGCCAGGAACTCGACGCCCCGATCATCGGCGCGATGGTCCATGGAGTCGGGCGTGGCGGTCACAGATCACCAGCCTGTGACTCGGATAGTTCGCAGCGAAGTGAATCAAAAGCCACGGAAATGTCGCTTGAACAACCATTTTGAACTGGTAGTTATATGGATAAATAACGATATATATATATACTTATATATATCTGTTTATGGATGTTGATCCCTTCAATTGCTTGGCATTTTATAGGTGTTGTGTTGAGCCATCACCATATGATATGGGATGGATGGGGACGGTACTTCAGTCAACACCGGAATTTACCAACTTCAAAAAACAAAAAAGGACTGCGGGTGATGTGAGACGATTCAACATGATTTACCATTTGATATTGTTTCACATTGAAATGAATGAACATTTTTTCCACCTATGGTGATGACTGGGGGATGGTTTATGGCATTGTTTTACCCACATTAGCATGCAAAACAAGCACTTGACCAACAAGAACGTGGCTTGACCATTTTGTGGCCGGGTCAATGGTTTTGATGGCCTGACCCAGAAATTCTGCATGTCCATCTCTGGGATTCTTATATGGATATAAACATCATATTACATCATATTACCATATGAATTGGGGGGATAGCACATGAATGAGGGGATGAACATTCACAACTATAAACATGATAAATTATACTCATCCTGAAGTAGCTAGAATAAGGACAGCTCATGACATTTCAAAAAAAAACTAGAATGGGAATCATATTGAACATGCCATATTCATTCTCTTCCAGGATGTCTATACTTACTGGTTGGTGGTTTGGAACATGAATTTTAATTTCCCCAATAGTTGGGATGATGATCCAATCTGACGAACTCCATCATGTTTGGAGGGGGCGGTAGGTCAACCACCAACCAGTACATATATATATATATACTATACATACTGTTCCATCCTGCTTAGATGATAATCCCAATTGACCACAACATGTTTGTGATGGGTCGAAACAATTTTTGGAGCACCTGGGGACGGTCAAGAGCACCGTTCTCCGATCAAGGTGGAGCGAGGTGTGCGAGGTGGGAATTTTGGAAAGCGGCAGGGGTTGTTGATGGGTATAACCACAATACCCTCTGGTAAACGTTAACAAAAAACTGTGGAAAGTGGAACATCACCATTTTTTACGGGGTAAATTAACTATAACTATGGAAAATCACCATGTTTAACTGGTAAATCAAGTTGAATTATGGAACATCACCATGTTTAATGGGTAAACCAACTATGATTATGGAACATCACCATTTTGTAACTGGGTAAATCAACTATTTCTATGGCCATTTTCAATAGCAAACTGTTAGTTTACCAGAGGGTAACCAGTATAACCCCAATAACAACTGCTAGTATATATTGGTATTATATCCCAGCAATATTGGATTATCACTCTAGTTGTAGTTAGTATTTTTTAAAACTCGTATGTACGTAATATAGAATACAACTAGAATGATATTATTAATACTAGATATATCTAGATATGTGGGCCCCCCTACATAGCTAAGTTGGTGAACATAATTCCAATAACTATATTGTTTATGTTATTTGTAACTATACTAGTATATATAGCTATATAATGATTAAAGGAATTTAGAAACCAACTTATAGTGCGGGGAGTGGGGGGCGCATTGTAGGGATACCTCGAGACTTTTTTTAGAACATGAAAGACATAAACCAGCCAAAACCACTTCCAATCTGTCTCTCCATTTAGTTTCCATGATTTGTTTTTCTGTCTAAGGCTATTGCTGTTTATTCGTTTATTTCACGTTGCTGTTCAAGGGTCCTCGAAAAGATAGATAAATTCTTCCATTTGTATGTGTCTGGTAATTCTTTGGAAATGAGGTTAGAACCGAGTTGGCCACTTGCAGATACTCTTTTCGATTTGTCAGCATCACACGTGTGTTTTACGCATTGCAATCCCATTAAATCCTGTGAAATCCCACCAAATCACAATTTAATCGCATTCAATCACCGCTCATCATGTGAAACGCTGGGTGTCGCATCGAGAAACGCCGAAGGTTCTGAAAGACGATCGGCCGCCAATGCGCCACAGGATGTGGGGTTTTCCTTGTGGCACCATCCCCACTGTTGGTCAGGGTGTTACATATCTGATGGTATGTGCATATATATATATATACACCAGGGGTACCAAACGGGTGCCGTAGTGGGACCCCTTAGCCAAAAAACACAGTGGGACCCCTTATTTTTTTAGGTGGTTTAGAGGTAGTTTGGAGGGTTCTTGACCATGCATCTCAATTTTTGATCGCTGAGGGCCCAGGTTCACCCGCAATGGCCACACTGCAGCCTGGCCACCGGCTCATGTAGGAATGATCGACCAAAGGCATGGGCATCAGGTACAACACCTTCAAAGCTATGGAATGGTTGGCACTGAATGGCCCAAGTTAAAACAGATAGGTAATAGAGTTACTAGAGGTGCAAGGTACCCCAACACAATGTTAAGTATCATTAGAAGGAAATTCCGTCGTTGGACATCTGCCATGCCGAAGCGCAAGAGTGGCAGCAAGGATTTCAATGATGAGGCGAAGAGCCTTGTCCAACAACATATTTGGAGGGTTTCATCGGGAAAAAACATCAACATTCATTTTTAAAAACCATGACTGTGAATAAGGATCATGGCAAAAGCGTTGATGGCCCGTATCGATGATAAATGTATTGAATGGATCCGACGATCTGGTGAGTTTTGGCCTGGCGGAGACATCCGCGTTAGTGCCAATCAGTGGCTGCGAGGAGCATTCCATGACAGCTCCCTCAAAAGGAGGACCGAGCGCTCGCTAACATGGCACTGCCCACATCCTACTTCAAGTAGCAAATTTCTATGTAAGTTATCCGTTCCAATCGTTGGTTGTTAAAAAATGGAGGCATTCCCAGCTTTATCTTGAAACATTCAAAATTTCTACGTTGATCAACAAATGCCCAGGATTCCCGGGGAACTCGTGGCAAAAAGAACTAGCCCAAAAAAAAGGGCTCAGATGCAAAGAACACAAATTTGCAGTTTACCCCCCCCATTGCAACTAACATGGAAGTAAACCTCCAAATTGTCACTTTAGTTAACGTGGAAGATTTTTTTTTTGCGCTACGGTAAAAGGAGGGGGAGTATCGGCCTCCGCTGGCAATTTCAAACTGAACACCTTGAAAGCACGCATGTTCATCAGTGATAAAACCGTGGTCTTGTCGGCACGCTACATACAAGTCAAAAAAAACTGCCACCTGCAGTTCTGAATCTGGGCGATCTGGTGCTCAGAATTTGGAACGCACCTTCTTGCCATGATCAAGACAAGGACCCAGATCCTTCTTCTTGCAAGCCAACAGGTCGGCCAAGGTCGTCTCAGCATTGAAGCGCTTGATGACCTTCTTCTGGTACATCAGCACCAGGTAATGCAATTCAACCTGATAAATTTTGAAAAGAATCGCAGGCGATGGCAATTTCCACTTGGGTTGGTTCACAAGAAAAGGCCGCCACAAGTCACCAAAATAGAATGTTTTCCTCACTTTTTATCAAAGAATTTGGGACTTGCGGGGGCCTTTTTTGGGTGGGCAAATCAAGTGGAAAATTAGCAACAGGATATCACAAATAAACTGAATTGGATTTTGACGAATGGCAGCAGTTTTTGTTTGACAAAGTACGCAGGAGATTTTTTTTTTATGAATGCATGATAACGCGCAATGTACACCTTGGCAACATGTACAAACGTAGAATGTACTGTATGGTTGTAGCCTGCCTTGGTCCACATGCCAGTGGAGGTGACGTGCTGGATCAGCTTCGACTTCACAGAATCGGTATTCTCGTTGTGCTTGAACCTGGGGACAATGAGAATGCCGACCTTCAAATCGAGCTTAAATTTCAAAACAAAAAGCGCTGCAAAGCAGACATGTACATTAAAACCAATTCAGCCCCAAGCGGTTCAAAGGGCGGCCAACGGAAGACTGATCGGGCTTGGACAGCGTAACTGTGGTCTTCGTCTTGCCTGCCTCAATGGACACATGAACCTTCGGCTGAAGCGCGGGCTGCGCGATGATGTAGACACACGGTTCTTACCTAAATCAAACCAATGCCACATCAAGCAAAGAATTGATCGACCGAGCAATCTGATTCAGATGATTCATCGAGCTTGGCAAAAAGGAATGGTCTTGTTTCAAGGCCAAGCCAAAATAGCTGCTAAATTTTTGCTAAGTAGCTGCTAAATAGCTGCTCAATAGCTGCTAAAAAGAAATAAACTTAGCAACCAACTTGATGAACTTTCCATATTACATCAAAGCTGCTCCTCAGCACAATGCCTTTGCGATCACCATCAGAAATGCGGTCAACAACAACATACTTGTAGGCAATCATCGGCTCAAACGACAAGAAAATCTCACTGTCACGAATGTCACGACACTTCACCATCAAACGCATGAGCTTGTCACTGGTAGTCTCACCTGTCAATGTCCAGAAGTTGACCAAGCTCAAGTCTTCTGCTGGCCTGAACGTTCATCTCAGACACATCCCTCACTTGCACACGGGGTGCCATGACGGAAAAGACACTTAGAAGTCTTATAACAAGCGGCCCGCCGCTGCTCTTGCGCCAAAAGCGTTGCTGCCGCTGAAAATTGAAAAACTCACACCATCCCTTAGAATGAGAATTGATGGTTTGCATGGATCATTGGTTAGTGACTAACTGAACATCATCCCCTGAATTGCCGAAAGAACGACAATGAAGTGCAGCTTGCCAACACGGAACCTGGCATCGAGCGCAAGCGAGAAAGATTGCAAGCAGCGGCAAACTAATTACATTGTTACAGCTGACGTGCTTTTTCACAACGCCAAATTTTCGGTTGTAGAAATTAAAAAACTGACCAGCACGACGACGGCTGTGACCTCGACGCATTCGGTCAAGTTGCCTGTTGGAAGACGGCCACCACATGTCCCAACTTTCCCAGGAGCAGGGCCAATCACTGTCAAACGAATTGCACCACACATCCCATTCGGGATGATATTGATCAAAATTCCAAGACTCATCACCTAAATCCTCCTGATTACTAAGTTCAGGAAGCTGCGAACTCCAACTGGAGCTGGCAGAGACTCGCTGACCCGCTGCCTCCTGAACACGAGTCTGAAGAACAGTGAATGCGCAAAATGACGTTCAAAAACATTGCCAAACCATTTGAGAGCAAGTTAAAAAATTGTCATATCACTGCAAAGGATCACTTTCTGTTGCTACACTACGCATCGGTTCCAGGAAACTCTTGTCGAGACTGCTATAGGATCAACATGCACTGATTGCTCGCATCGGCTACCAACTCTTGAAGATAAGGCTGGCGATGGTCCCTGCGCTGTGTGCAGAAACTATCTACCCTTAGTCTTTCAAGACTTTGATTTGCTTCAAAGACTGCACTGGCAAAGATTGAAACTAGTTTGATCTGATGTTTCTTGCACCTAGGACCTCAACGCGTGTTTTTTTTCCATGGAGGGCTCGAAACCGAGGAAGTTGAAGTTGAACTGGAAGTATCCTGCCAACTGACAAGAAAGGCAACATCTACCCAATAACAAAGCATGATGAAAGACAATCTCAAGCCATGGAAAAATTAGCAAATGAAGGGCGACATCTCCTCCTGGTCAAGACCAAGGGCACGCTTCAGCAGTGTGTCAGGAGGGATAACGCCGTGATGCATCTCAGCGCACTCACTCACTGGGCTGCATGGCTCTGGCCCATGCGCTCGTTCCATTCTCTAGTTCCTGCCTTTTTCCTTGTTGGCATTTAAATTCTTAGGTTCTCACAAAATAGTTTCAGCATCATGCCTAAAACACACGCCTTGTGCGGTAAATTAAGCTGAAACTGCAAAAGGCACAGCTCTGATCCGCACCGAAGAAAAGACAACACAGGCAAACGGCCACAATAATGAATGACTCTGAAATCACTGCTGCGTTGCATTAGGAAAATATGTCATGCAAAAACTCAGATGGTTGGCGTTTTTTAGTTTTGCACGGAGCACGTAAGGTATTTGAGGACCGTAAGCCGTAAGTAGTATATAACCCAATTTCCTTGAAAACAGATTGCACATGTCGTGAAAACAACGCCATTTGATGAAAAGTCAGTCGGCATCTGACTCGTACAATATCATCTGGAAAGAAACCTACAACATGATGATAATTAAAGCGTCCTTGAGCCGCTGACAAAACAAAACCAAAACCGTCTGAGGAAACTGAAGATGCCCAACATAGTCATAAAGCGTCGCTTGGCCGCTGGCTATTTGAAAAAACATCATCTGTGGATGAAGATGCCCAACATGTTTTCATAAAGCATCTCTTGGCCGCTGGCTGGAACGATCATTGAACACAATCCAGTTACCCAACATTTGGAACATTTTTCCACTCAAAAAATGCACAATTTGTTCACAGCACCAGACACACCTGCCACAATCTCTTGAAACCAGTCTTCTGAAAATTGCCACCTTCAAAATTCGCACAGACACGATGGCCAAGAAGCCGGCAAACTTGAAATGCTTGCGAAGTAGCACAAATTTGGGTTAGTGTTCCTGAAGACAAAAAGTTTCAGTTCCTGCGCATAGGTATCAAAAACTAGCACCATAGCCAGCTTTTCACTTTCAACAAGGTCCTCTTGAACTATGAAAACTAAACTTTCCCAGCAGGTGATGTAGTCATCGGTGGCGAAATGGTTGTTTCTCTCAATCATCCAGTGGCGAAGGCATTGCAATGGCTCTGGAGCATCATCCAAAAGAAGCCAATCTACAACAGGAGCATCAAAAGTGAGGTGGGGCATGGCGTCAGCCAGTGAAAAATCCTTGCTGGAGATGTCAAAACCCACACAGTGCTCGAGTGGGAAGCGGTGACCTCCCCATACTCCGTCATGTTGGACACCCATTGCGCTTTCATTTTCAGCTCGGCCATCAAAGCAAAAGGCAAGAAGGCAGCGCGTCAAACCCGCTCTGTCTGCTATGTTTGGGAAAATGTTCTTTTGGCGGCAAGATATTTTCAAAACAAAAACATCAATCAAACTCCAAACATTGATCTTCTCCCACTCCATGTGTTTTTTTGATGGAAATGTTGCAGTTGGCGACCGGCGAGACAGGTGCAAAAATTGTGAAATTCTCTGCTGGGAAAACCAAAAAGTGACACCAGAACTGCTCAAATTACAACCACCAGAAAGCAAAACCAAACATACCATACCAGCTGTCCTAGCTACAAAATTACAAAACCATTATATAAACTAAACCAGGAAACGATCTTACTTCGAATCGATTTCAACCCAAACAAAAACATGGCATCGAGGTTGCATTCAGCGCGTGACATTATGATGTTCATTGGTCCTCAGCAAAAAACACAGGTTCCAGATTCGATCTGACAGACATGTCCATCTCCACAACACCATGTCCAAGCTTGATACATGTGACAGCCAAGGCCACAGATGGCAAGATACACCCAGTGCCACATATTTACTCATTCACCTATTACTAAAAGGACGGTACAAATGGTACCTGATAAACATGCAAACTGAGAACCCTCAGTTGCAATCTGTGCCCCCGGATAGCACAAGCCTTACATCCGGAAGGCAAGGGAGTCCCAGAGACGCTGGAGGCCAACCTGTTAGCAGACAGAAGTGCAGCTTTCGCGGAGGACCAGGACGAAAGGAACCGGTTTTTCTCCATTGAGAATCCGCTCGACTCCTTCATATGGCATTTGAAATCGATTATAAGGGTGGCCAAGAGACCGGGGGTACGCATGACCAGGCTGGACCAGTGCGCTTACGGGGGACCACACCACAAACCCACCGGGTTGCTACACAATGCGCCCTGGCTAGATGAGGGCCGGTGCAGTGAGGTACCTCACCAGCACACGAAAATACACGAAATTAGAAGGTCGTGTGTGGTCGTACAAGCAGGACCATGGCTGGCTACAATAAAATTGACCGGAACTACACCTCGTTCCATGAACATCAGCAGGAATCCAAGGCTGCAATTAGATAGGCTCATCAAGGCATCTGGAAGCGCTGGGATCTTGGGAACGAGTTGTCTCCCAATGGCCAAACGCCAAATCCACAAAACTGGCCACATTGGTCAAACAGAAACCGGACGGGACCTGTAAGGTCAGATTCATTGCAGAGATGAGACGCTCCGGAGTCAACGGAATGACGTATGCAGAAGAGAAAATAGTGCTGCAGCGCGGCACCGACTACACAAGAGACATCCTAGACCTGTTGGAGGATGGCCCATCAGAGGTGGAACTGTACACCGCAGATTTTTTGGATGCTTTCTTGAACCTACCCGTAGACCAGGAGAAAAAGAAATATCATCATGGCTGACACGGACCAATATTTTGTATATCGCGGAGTCCCTTTTGGACAAGCCCCAGCACCTTTGGTGTGGGGACGAGCCGCAGCGTGGCTGGCGCGAGCAGCCCAAGCACTTCACTCTCATCGTCGGCGCCAGCTGCAAATCTAGTTGATGACCTTGTGGCCAAAATCGCCCTGCACAAAGCCAGCAGGGGTCGGCAGATCAAGTGGATCGGCGCCAGCTGCATGCACCATCTTACAGATGGGGGTCCGAGTTTCGGTCGACGCTGACCGCATTGCCAAATTACCTGAGGTAGTAGAAGCAGCCCTCGCTCAGAAAGGCCTCATCGCTGGCATGCGTAGCCTGGCGGGAGAATAAGCTGGGTCGCCGGCATTGTTCCTACCATCAGGCCATTCGTCAACATAATTTGGCCAGCCCTGCACGGCATGCAGGATCAGCAGAAGAAAGTCAGAGCAGGTCAATTCACAGCCCGCATACGACCCACTGGCTTGATCCATGCCAAAACTGTTCGCCTGCCCCTCGTGTGGATGAAGCAATTCCTGCAGGGCCTCCACGGGGGTCTCAGCTGGAACCGCTGGGTCTCGGATCGCCATGCGCACCCTCTGCAGTGGGTCGTGCGCGCCGACGCGTCTACCACCGGCCTGGGCGGCATCCTGCTGGATTAAAGCGGACGCCCCGTCAGGTGGTGGGCCAGCCCATTACCCCACAAGACCCTGCAGGAGTTCCAAATAACCGCAGGAGAGCCAGGCCTGATGGCAGTCTACCAGCTATTGGCCCTGCTGCTATCATTGACGGTGTGGCAGCGCCTGTTCCGTCACTGCCGGCTGGGACTTCTGGTTCTGCTGGACAGTGAATTTGCCCTTCGGGTAGTCATCAAACTGGCGTCACCACACCCTGTGCTCAACCGGCTTGCCGCCGAGCTCGCATTATGCCTGGAGGACCTTCAAGCCGAGGCGTCGACCGGGCAACACTGGCGGAACACCGTCAATATTGAGGCGGACGCCCTATCCCGACTTCAGGAGGGAAAGGAAGTCCATCACAGGCTCAAGTATTTACCTCGAGAACACGCACCTGCTCCTCTTCTCCGCATTCTCATAGCACCTTGATTGGCACTCTGGCAGGTCCGGAGGGGGGCGTTTGCATTGGGGATCAGGTGCATGAAGACAAAAAATGTGCTTCCGGTCTGAAAGCTGAAGGTGTACCTGTCAGCAGAGCTGTACCTGTCCGCAGCCATGATGAGGCACAAAGCATGGACACCAGGTAGACGGGCCGCTCTGCTAGGAAGGACCTTCCAAGCCGGCCTCCATGCAGGAAACAGAAGTCAGGAGCTTGGGCCGATGGAAAACGGAAAGAGCTACGGTGGGTGCCCCTGCAGGGTTTCAGGACGGCCATGCTGGAACACGGGAGGGGCCCCTCTGAGCAACACGAACTTCAGGCCCTTGGTGCAGGAAGGTCGAATGACCGTCGGGAGGACCCGGAAGGCGAGGGGGAGGAGAGGTATGGAGCGGCTCGGCATGAGCACAAACAGAGGGAATGGGGACATGAATATAATCACTAAAGGGAGAAAATTGTGGATGGGGTAAAGATGGATTTAAGTAAGGGGAAAACATCGAGGGGGGTTGCCTCAAATGTTTGGTCACCTCAAGTGGGAGTTTCTTCGCGGAATAATGTGGGTGTCTGGTTTTGACTCCTAGAGGAGGGGAAACCAGGGGGCCCAATACCCTGAATAACCATAGGTTCAGGTTGGTTAGGGCTACCCTGAAGATTCTTCAATCGGTAAGGAATCCAAGCTATCATCGTCCTGCACGTCTGCTCAGGTATAAACGGCAGAGCTAAGGAAGCTTCGAACGAACTCGCCCCGCTCGTCAGAACAAAAAGAATGCAGTCAGATCACAGGGCGGTTGGATGGGGTGATCCAAACCTGCAGTGTGTGTTGTTGGGTTTATATATCCCATTATATCCACATGTTTCTTGCCTTCATCAAACAGTACTTGTAGCGTCTTGTAGCTACATGTCGGGTTTAGCTACTAACCGCCACGGAAAAAAAAACTTGAAGTTCAGCGCTAGGACAGCTAGGATGACGATCCATTGTCATTGTTTGTTGTTGCTTCCAATTTTTCAATGTCATATATATATATAGGGTAGTTACCGTATATATATATATATATACGAATATCTATAAACACCAATGATAATTAACAAGAATACCAACAATAATGATGATAAAAATAGATATAATAGTAAGAACCCTACTTCTACTCCTACCCCTACTCCTACTCCTACTCCTACTCCTACTCCTACTGCTACTACTACTGCTACTGCTACTGCTACTGCTACTGCTACTGCTACTACTACTACTACTACTACTACTACTACCACGACGACGACGACGACGACGACTACTACTACTACTACTCGTGCTGCTACTACTACTACTCGTGCTGCTACTACTACCATACTACCACTGCTACTACTAATAATCATAATGGTATTATTAACGATCATCCATGATTCATTTTCACCAAAAAAATGACATTCGTTTCAATGGATCGATCCACCATAGACCTTCCCCAGCCCAGGTTGGGCAAGACGTTGTCTTTGAGGTGGAGCCCAATGGGGCTGGTCACCCCCAGGCCTGGCCGATTGGAAGAATGGGGAGACTGGGAGAATCTGATCCATAAATATCAAGAAACAACTTGAGATTTATGCAAGATATAGATATCTGATATAGATTTATAGAAGATTGATTTATAGAAGATATAGTTAGATTCTAGGTTAGCAACATATGTGTATATATAAATATATAGATACATATATATATATATAAATATGCATACATGGTAGCTGGACATTTAATCAACTGAAGATAATGCGGAAAATGTTGATGGATGAGTTCATTTGTTATCATTCGATGTTCGCATGTGACCAGGCGCGGAACATGGTGTTGGCCACCCCCGCAGTGCTGGGCTTAGAGGACTTTTGATGCCCATCGGATGATTTGGGCAACTGGGAACCGGGAACCCTCCTGTAATTTCAGACTTTGCTACATGGAAAACGGATGAACATGGCCCAGTTGTAGAGGATTTACCCATTAAAAACGGTGATCTGCCAGGCTGCACGCTGTGTTTGGTGGCTGTTTGATGGTTCAATCCATATTCTGATTGCCATTTTTGGTCGGCAATGTCGAGACCACCCGCATCTGGCTCTGAGGAAGGCATGTGGGACTACAGCGCCAGCCACTCTTCGATACCACGGGCATCACTTCAAGTGTATGTTGGTGGATTTGTTTTGGACACTAGCCATAGTTTCAGGAATCATACATCATTACATAATTACATAATTACATAACTACACCATTACATAATTACAAAAAAATATACGCACATACATACATGCATGCATACACACATACATACATACATACATACATACATACAGACAGACAGACAGACAGACATACATCATGCATACATACATACATACATACATACATACATACATACATACATACATACACGCATACACACATTCAACATTTATATTGTTAACAAAACAGCATAACATATATCATCATATATATTGAATACGACACACCATACCTATATTTAACAAAAAAACGCATATAGAATACGACATATCATATGTATATAATAT